TTCACCGCCACCACCGCCATCATCCTCTACACACCTATGCCTTATGGCCAAGGGTGAACGCAAGGTATCAAATGATGATGATAGTAGTGGTGATGAACATGCTAGTAATAATGATAGCGATAGTGATGATGATGAATATGAATCACCTACTTATGATGATCTTGCTAGATTGCTAAAACAATACACTAAGATCATTATAAAGACTAGAGCTAAGAATGAAAAGCTAGAGGCTAAAAATGATGCACTTTTAGCAAAATGTGATATAGCAAAAAAGGCTAGTGTTGAGCTTAGAGAAGCAAATGATGCTATGTCATCCAAACTTAAGGAGCTCAAATCTTCTAAGAAAGAGCTTAAAGATAAACATGATAAACTTGAGTGGGTGCACAAAGAGCTCATCACTAGCCACAATAAGCTAAAAGAAGAATATACAACTCTTAAGATTAATCATGATAATCTTGTCATACCTCAAGAATTTCTATCCAATGAGCCACATGATGCTACTAACCATGTTGTTAAGATTGATATAGTGTAACAACCCAGAAATTTCTAGAAAACAAAAAAATCACAACTACAAATTTTTTTAAAAAAAAATAGCCAATGGTTGGTGAATGTCTTGTAGGAAAACTACCCTAGTTCCATAAGTAGTACCTATTGTAGATGTTTATATCCTTGTATTTAATTAAATTTGCATGAGTTGCTTCTTATGTTCTTTTGTATTCATTAATAAAAGCAACAACATTTATTTAAATATTTAAATAAATGTGTGTGTGTTGTTGCCAACCCTTGGATGAACCCTAAATGACCTCTAGTGGACCCCACTAGGGCATACATGTGTAGGCAACACATGTGTATGCATGTAGGAACTATGGAGTAGCTAGAAAAATGAAGACATAACATAGAAGAGCTAATTCAATTAAGCTAAAATGGAGAAACCCCTTTTGGCCCTAGAGCTCAAGCCAGCCTGGCTCCACAGCCCGCAAACGGACTCTAGCCCAGCAGGCCACGCACCGGCACCCGTGGGCCAACCCAACCCCCCAACCGGCCCAACCTTTTCAGCTGCCCACTCCCACCGTGACGGGCCACGGATTCGGAACGGCCCAACAACGCCGAGACGGCCCAGCTAGGAGCCCGCTCTTCGTTCGCGTTATACAGGAGCCGCTCTTCCCTTTTTTCCCGGTCACCGCCAGCTGGGACCCCGTTGTCATCGTCCTCCTCGCGCCTTCACCCCCCTTTTCGCGCTCGAGTCAGGACAGAGGAGGGGGAATCTCCATCGCCAGTCGTTCTCTTCACGTCGGTTGACAACGAACACGTGGATGCGACGCCACATCGCCTATCCGCACTGCTACCGTCCCCAGCTAGAGCCATCCGTGCCATGACGCCATCATTGTGGCCCGCGCCCTTGCAACCACCCCTGGCACCATCGTATGAAGCCTGAGCAAGTTGTTGCGCCAAAACGGAGGCGCCAAGGCAACCCGCGACCGTGCCATGACCTTAACCCTAGCCTAAGCGCACCAATCACCTCCATGTGGCCCTAAACCCCCTTCCCGCCGTTCACCTTGCCATGATCACCACCTCCCTATAAGAAGGCACCACTGAGGTGCCCAAGCTGTTTCCCATCATCTCGCCGTCGCCCTAGTGGCCACCACTCCCCGTCGCGACCAAGAGAAGGAGGGGAAGGAGGGAGAAGGGGGGTAGAGAAGAGAGGGTTCTACCGGAGCCACCGAAGAGGAGCCACTGGAACGGAAGGCGACGACCCGATCGGCTACAGCGGAGTAGCTGCTTGGCATGGCATGGCCTCGCCCCGACACTGCCTCGACTCGCCCTGCATCGATATACTTTCGCCATCGCCACCTACGGTGAGCCCCAGCACCCTCTCGGCTCTCTACCATAGTGTTCGCGGGCATCACTTCGCCGTCTCCGTACCAGGAACGAGCAAGAGGAGGCACTGACCCCTGTACCCTGCCTACACACACACATACACACCCGCCGCCCCAACCACGGACTGCACTGCGCACCAAGGGCCTGGGAACGCTGGAGGGGCGACGCATTGCGGAGCATGCCCGCCATGGCAATAGCTCACCATGGTGAGGTTCCATTCTTGCCGCGTCAGGCCGGTAGAAGCGAGGGAAGGAGGGCTATCTATTTCGCCTTGGCAAGGGACGCGCCACGCGCAGCAAGATGGAGGAAGAGAGCCACGTGAGGGAGTTGCTCGCGTTTACCTTGTCGGTGGAGCTGTGCTCCAGAGCGTCGTCGTGCCGAGAGCGTTCCTAATCGCACCGGCCACCTCGTTGGACAAGGGTGGGCCGAGAAGTCTTCGGTTGAGCCTAAAAACGCTATCGAGGAGCCACCGTGGCTTGAGAACGGCCGCTCACCGCCGGCGGGCGCGCCACCGCGCGGGGAAGCAAGGGGAGGGGACGGGACAGTAGTTCGGTGCACCATGAACCAAGAGGAAGAAAGAAAAGGTGAATGCGGTCCACCGTAGATCCCATGTGCACCCGTGAACCGCTCGGTCATGCCCACCGTGAGCCATGCCTACAAAGACTGGAGCCCATTTTGAATCCACAGTGCAACGTGGCATCACGAGGAGCTGCCACGTGTCGGGGCCGGCCCGGCCCAGACCAGCCCAACCCGGCCCGTATCCAGCCCTAGCCCGGCCCGCCAGAGCCCGGTCTCGGCCCGGTCAAAGTTGACCGTTGACCAATCATCAGACCCACCTGTCTGTGACTCACTCCGTCCCAGCCAATCGGGTGCTGCCACGTGTCACTGCCTGGAATTTCCAATTCTTTTTTTTTCAGAAATGCATTTAATTTCTGAAAATTCATAACTAATTCATTTTAACTCAGAAAAATACCAAACCAGTGTTCAAATTTTTCTAAAAAGGAGCTCTACGTCATAGGCTTGTGTTTGAGTGCATTTGGATCTTTCGAATTTCTGTTGCTTCTTTGTGCACCTTTATAGGAGTCGCTCACGCGACCATATATTACGTTTATCAGAGCCAGAGGACCTGCCGACTGAGGAGTACGACCCCGACTACAGCAAGGACTTGGGAGACGACCAGCCAGGTGCCATGCCCCACCCAATCTCGTAGATCCTATTACGCATGCTATAACAAGAATTGCTAGCGCTTTATCTTTTATGCGATAATATGATGTTAGGTTGCATGGTAGTTTTACTTGAGCCTTATACCTTGTTGCAACCTTACTCCTGCACACCCGCTAATAGGCTAGATGCTCGCTTGTTACATACTTACTGCTTTACTCTTACTCGCATTATATCTGTGATGTGATGCTGGTGAGGGAGAGACGTATGTGCGTAAGGCACGAGGTGCCATAAAATTGGTAAAACTGGATAATGAACATGGGGAGATCTTGGCGTGCGTTTGGGTGTGTGGTGAGGGTTGAGTCGATTGGACAGGATCCTACGACGAGTCTTTGGGGCAAGTCTTGCCGAAGGGGTGCGACCTGGGCATCCCTTGTGAAAGTTACATGTGGCGGGTATATGTGAGAGGTGGACCAGGGTGTTAGTTATCCCTAGTGAGGTGCTGTCCTGGCATGGGGAGTTGGTGATCCCCTTTTGAGAAGATATCCTGTCCGGTCCCCCAAAGGACTGGTATGTCTTGAGAATCGGAACCATGGGACCTTCGTGCACACCACTCACTCCTGATGGGCGGGGGACAATTACCTGACTAACTAGGGCGGTACCACTACTACTAGGTTGGAAAGTGATAGTGTAGGGAGGTACGGGCATGGGGACCCACACCCTCCTAAGACAGCGTAGTGACCTTAGGGGCCTGGTACTACGTCTCACAGTCTCAGCGTTTTAGTGGACTCCGGGGTGGCCCAGGGCCGAGTGGTAGGGTGGTACTATACCAGTTGGGAGGCAGTCAAAATCAGCCTAGATGAGCCGGATCGTCGAGGATGGCGATCTTGTGGATTACCAGGTGTACACGCTCTACAGAGTTGATCGATCTATACATATGGCCGCGTCTGTGGATATGGACATTCCTGTGACCTACGCTTCACTTGATTAGAGAGAGGAGTCCTTCTCTACCTTCCCCGGGTTTCGTGTTGGATTTCGGCTTTGGCCGTTGAGGCGAGATCTGAGTGGGAGTTGATCTCGTCGCCTAGAGAGAGTGAGATGAGATGTGATGAGTGTGATGGGTGGGGAGAATGTGTGAATAAGATGGGTTAAAAACCTGATGAACATATTATTTTTAAAATGTTAACTACTTGCATAGGAAACCCACAGCCTAAATAGGTCTCATCCTACTTCCCCCAATGCATTCCACTCTCCACAAAGCAATGCAAGCATAGGGTGGGCGATGCGTGGCCAGTACCAAGTGTACTAATAGATTTTTGGCAGGTTCCAAGGCCGAGTACGACTACGAGGGCGATGACTGGGAGGACTAGAGGGTCTATTCTACGCTCGAGCTGGTTCCAGGATATCATTTTCTGCTGCTATCCTCATCAGATGCTATTCAGGATGCTATGTGTGAGTGTGTTCCGCCCTGCGTGGCGAAGAGAATAATTTATGTAAAACTCTTTATTGTACTCTGATAATCATGTATGGCTTGGTGTATCACTGAGATTTGGGTAAATTGACGGATCATTTCTTCATTTTACACTTTGTTTCTATGGATTTCCCTTCGTGGAAATCAAGGACGTTTCAGTTGGTATCAGAGCCATGCTTGACCCTAGGACGGACCCATAGCTTTGGACAATAGGATTATGAAAGATCTTGACACTTTCGGTTATATTACCGACCGTGCTACATTTTCGTGCATGGCTTACCTCAATTTCACACTCTCTTACCTAAATTTCGTTCTACCTTACCCATCACATCGCTCTGTTCCACCCTGATTCATCCTGTATCACTCAGGATTCACCAAGTATCACCCTGATTTACCTTGTTTCGCCTTGTCTTACTAAGTTTCACTCTGTATTACTCAAGATACTTCATAAATAACAAGTACTGACTCCGTCTTACGGGTAAAACTGTAGATGGCTCCTGTTGTCAAGCTCCCTGTGGATGGACTGGCCTACCGTGGGTTCGCCACGATCCTGTATGACGTACTGGACTCGCTAGGCGTCCCCACAGAGAAGATTGAGTACGTGTGCCGGGGTGAGCCTAGACCCGACGGGATCAAGGGCCACATCGTGGTCCACCTCAAGGTCCCCACCAGCGAGTTCGTACCCGTGTTGCGTGCCTTTGAGACACTGGAGGTGGAGAACTCAATCACTTTGTGCGTGCAGTCCGTCTCACGCACTGCTCTTCGTAGTGTGATGTGTGACGCACACGACTACCTCAAGACGGGACCGTACCGCCTGCTGCCTGTCGCTCTGGACCTCAATAGGTTCTCGGAGCCATAGATCACTGCTGCAGACCGTGCTACGTGTGATGAGGTCGACCCCTGCCTGAGGGCCTCCGTGCAGTACATCATCGCCCAGGATCGCTACATCATGGATGTGGAGATGTAGAACCGCTGCTACCAAGACCTCCTGTTCCATTGCGACGAGGAGTTCCTCAAGGTGGAGCGCAAGGAGGAGGAGATGGTCGGCAAGCTCAAGGAGGAGCGCATGGGCTATGACAGAATGAAGACCTTCTATGAGACCCATGAGAAGTCACTTCGGGAGGAGATCGCCAATCTCAAGGACAAAGTTGGGGAGGCTGAGCTTCGCCATGACTATCTTGAGTCCAAGGTGCTTGAGTACGAGGATCGGATTGAGCGTTAGAGGCTTACCCTGAGGGAGTTCCACGAGAAGGAGAAGCACCATGGCATCAAGAAGCTTGCCCTAGAGGCTCATTGCAACACGATGGAGAAGCTGGCTGTGGAGGCTGCCGTCACCACCACCTACAACATGCATCACCTGGTTCACTACATCAAGTGCACTGAGTACCTTCAGGACAAGGTGAACCGCATCAGCCAGGCTTGGATCGACACTGATCGCAAGCGCGTCTAGGAGATCGGGAAGGTCTAGGACATCCTCTTACCTGGGATGCACAAGAAGCCACGCAGACAACCCTTCCACGTTGAGGCCACCAAGCTCAACTTCAAGGCTTGCCCGACGGAGGGTTACTCAGAGGTTCTGAGGACAGAGATGCTAGACTACGCTCTCACCTACGTCGCAAGGATCCACCGCTATGACGACGAGCTCCGTGCCATGGAGGGCACTCCCGAGGCTTCCACTTCCGGTCCTTCTGCACCACCCGTCACTCCCAGGACAGGAGTAGTTAATGTAGTAGTAAACATGTTGAGCCCTACGTGGCCAGAGATATGACGCGCCCATGGAGTAAAGTAGGATGTCCCACTTTTGGAGCTGCCTGCGAGTAGCACGATTCCCACGAATCTGTCAGTGTAGCTACTGGAGATGTCGCTATGTAATAAATTAATGTAATGGATGTTTTGGATCTTATTGCATCTTATGGTTCTTATTTGCATCTTTGTATGAGTGTTGGATAGAAATCTCATTTTAAATTGATAAACCACTTAACAATGCATCTAACGAAAAATGTTAAATAATGACCTAACCCTGCAGAGAGATGTCTTGCTGCTGTTCTGCTCGTCTGAACAACCGCTCGCTTTCCCCCACGCCCATGGCCCGTGGTCGTGGTCGTGGCCATGGAGGAGGTAGGGGAGCTCCCTTCGGTGCCAGGGAGGAGCCCGCACCAGAGGAGCCCGCACTGGGGGCGGGTGCCGCCCAACAGCTTGGAGGAGGAGCACCACCGCCGCCGCCACCACCACAGTTGGTGGAGGTGATGGACCGCCAAACCCGCCTATTGTAGGCACTGGCTCAGGGGATGCTTCACCACCACGGGGGTCCTCCCAATGACATCCAGCGGAAGTTGGAGGGTTTCCTCAAGCTGAGGCCTCCTACTTTCGACACTGCCGACGATGACCCCATCGCCGCTGAGGAGTGCATGGGGGTCGCCGCCCACCAGCTCACTGGTGCTGCAAGCGCATGGTGGGACAGCTACTGCGACGCCCACGAGGACCCGGGGAGTATCTCTTGGGAGGAGTTCGCTGAGGCCTTCCGTGAGCACCACGTGCCCCAAGGTGTCATGGATGCCAAGGTGGAGGAGTTTTGCAACATCTCCTAGGGCTCCCAGAAGGTTCAGGAGTACACCACTCGCTTCACCCGCATGATGAGGTATGCTCCAGGTGAGACCGATACCAAGAAGAAGAAGATGTACTGCTTCAAGAAGGGGCTAAACTCTCATCTCAAGGTGGCCCTCTTGAGTCATGCCTGCCACACCCTTCGTGAGATGGTCAACAAGGTGCTGGAGATGGAGAGGGATCATCTGGAGGCGGACGCCCTCCATAAGGAGAAGAAGCGTCGGTTCGAGAGTTCCTCTCGTGGCCTAGCCCCGTAGAGGCCACGTGCTCACGTGCTTCCTCTGCTTCGCTCATGCTACACTAAGGGGGCTGTGACCGCTCCGAGCCATGGAGGTGGTACCTACACTGCCAACTACCACCGCCCCGCTCAGAGCCGTCCCGCTCTGAGTCGCCCCACTCAGGGAGCTGGCACGTGGAGGACCGCTATGCCCACCTCCACAGGTAGCGCGCCCTTCACCTGCTTTGGTTATGGCCAGCCCGGTCACAAGATCGCTGAGTGCCCCGTCAAGAATGGCATACCGCCTGCTCCGACCCAGGCGAGATAGGCTACTACACCTACTGCTCCACGCAAGAACGTTGCAGGGGTTGTCCGTAGTCGTCTCAACCACATGACCACGGAGGATGCCCAGGACGCTCCCAACGTGGTGTACGGTATGTTTTTGGTACAGGGAGTTATAGCTTTGGTTTTGTTCGACTCTGGAGCTACTTGTTCATACATTTCCACCAAGTTTGCACGAGAGCATAACATACCTGTGACCCCCCACAAGGAGCCCGTTGACACTAGTTCACCTTTGGGTCGCATTATATGCACCAAGAGATGTTAGGGAGTGAGTGTCACCATTGAGGGCTACCCTTTTCTAGCCGATCTCACCTTACTTCCATCTGAGGGACTAGATGTCATACTAGGAATGGATTGGTTGACACAGCACAAAGGAGTGATATCTTGTTCAGCAAGGTATGTAGAGATCACACACCCGAGTGGTCACATAATCCATTGTAAGCCTAATCAGGGAAAGACAGTCTCTATGTTGTGTGCCTTAGAGGCCAAGACAGTCGAGGAGGTACCCGTTATGAATAAGTACCCTGACGTGTTTCCTGAGGAGTTGCCAGGCATGCCACCTGATCGGGATGTAGAGTTTGTGATTGACCTTCTGCCTGGTACCGGGCCTACTACTAAAAGGCCCTACCGCATGTCAGTCGATGAGTTGGAGGAGCTAAAGAAACAGCTCAAGGAGTTGTCAGACAAGGGGTACATCAGACCTAGTGCTTCGCCTTGGGGTTCCCCTGTTTTGTTCGTGAAAAAGAAGGATGGATCCATGAGGATGTGCATTGACTATCGGAACTTGAATGTTGTGATAGTCAAGAACAAGTATCCTCTGCCCAGGATCGATGACCTCCTAGATCAGCTGAAAGATGCCAAGTACTTTTCCAAGATTGATCTCAGGTCTGAGGTATCATCAGATGAAAATCAGACCCAAGGACATTCCTAAGACAGCTTTTGTCACCAGATACGGGCAATATGAGTTCACAGTGGTGTCCTTCGGACTCACTAATGCCCCAGCTTATTTCATGAACATGATAAATAAGGTATTCATGGACGAGCTGGACAAGTTCGTGGTGGTGTTCATTGATGACATCCTTATCTATTCCTCCACCACCGAAGAGCATGAACAACACTTGAGAGTGGTTCTGGAGAAGTTGAGGCAGAATCAGCTTTATGCCAAGTTTAGCAAGTGTGACTTCTGGCTCGAAAAAGTCATCTTTCTTGGTCACGTTCTCACTGCTGAGGGAGTCGCTGTAGATCCCGCAAAGATTGAAGCTGTGAAGGAGTGGGAACAACCCCGCAATGTGACCGATATTCGCAGTTTTCTCGGATTGGCTGGGTACTATCGAAGGTTCATCGAGAACTTCTCAAAGATAGCCAAGCCCATGACCAACCTACTGAAGAAGACTAATGAGTTTGAATGGACGCCAGAGTGCGAGCACAACTTCTAGACTCTGAAACAGAAGCTTACCACCACTCCTGTTCTTGCCTTGCCCGATATCCAAAAAGACTTCGTAGTCTATTGTGATGCATCCAGACAGGGACTGGGTTGCATTTTGATGCAGAGTGGGAGAGTCATTGCCTATGCATCCCGACATTTGAAGGACCATGAACAACACTACCTCACCCACGATCTTGAGCTTGCAGCTGTTGTGCATGCCCTAAAGATCTAGAGGCACTACTTGATCGAAAATAAGTGTGATATCTACACCGATCACAAGAGCTTGAAGTACTTATTCACACAAGAGGACCTAAACATGAGACAGCGCAGATGGCTAGAGCTTATAATGGATTACGACCTAGAGATCCACTATCATCCGGGAAAAGCTAATGTAGTCGCTGATGCCTTGAGCCAAAAGAGCTATTGCCACAATCTATCCATGGAAGCTGTACCACCCAAGCTGTGTCAGGAAATGGATGACCTTCGTCTTGAGATTCTACCAAAGGGTATGCTAAACGAGCTTTGAGTGCAATACAACCTCAAGGATCGGATCCGCAATGCTCAACAAGAGTGTCTAGAAATCTAGGAGATCCGAGAACTCATGAAGAGGGGCAAGTGCCCCGAGTTTAGGGAAGATGTGCAAGGAGTGTACTGGTACAAGGACCGAATCTATGTACCATCCGATCCCGCCTTGCGGCAAGAAATCTTGGAAGAGGGTCATGACTCTAAGTATTGTATCCACCCAGGAAGCACCAAAATGTATGCCGATATGAAGAAACAGTTCTGGTGGAAGAACATGAAGGCAGATAATGCCGGGCATGTCGCGCGATGCGACATTTGCAATAAGGTCAAGGCCGAGCATCAGAGACTGGCCCAGTTGCTTAATCCCTTGGACGTCCCGGTGTGGAAATGGGAGAGCATATCCATGGACTTTATAGTGGGTTTACCTCGAACCCCTAAAGGCCATGACTCGATTTGGGTGATTGTTGACCGACTGACCAAGGTAGCTCAGTTCATAGCGGTGAGGAATGACTACAGAGTTGAGAAGTTAGTAGATCTGTACATCGAGCACATTCTCAGACTCCATGGAGCCCCCACTAGCATAGTGTCTGATTGTGGCACGCAATACGTGTCCAAGTTCTGGAAGAGTCTCCACAAGGCCATAGGGACTCGACTGGATTACAGCACCGCGTACCACCCACAGACAGATGGTCAGATAGAGAGGGTTAATCAGATTTTGGAGGACATGCTCCGAGCTTGTGTCTTGAAGTATGGGTCTGATTGGGAGAAAAGCTTGTCCCACGCAGAGTTCTCGTACAACAATAGCTACCAAGCTAGTCTCAAGATGTCACTGTTTGAGGCATTGTATGGCAGAAAGTGTAGAACCCCTCTGATGTGGTCTGAGGTAGGAGAGAGATCATTCTTTCGCCCTGCAAAGATCAAAGATGCCGAAGAAGGAGTCGCCCAAGTGCGAGAGAACCTGAGGATTGCCCAAAGCCGATAGAAAAGCTACGCAGATAACCGTCGGAGAGACCTCGAGTTTCAGGTTGGGGACTATGTCTATCTCAAAGTCTCCCCACTCCGAGGCACTGTCAGATTTCATGTGAAGGGGAAGTTGGCCCCTAGGTACGTGGGACCTTACAGGATTTGTCAGAGGATCAGCAAGTTGGCATACAAGATAGAGTTGCCCGAGGAGTTGACAGGAGTACACCCAGTGTTTCACGTGTCCCAGCTACGCAAGTGCTTGCAGTTGCCAGAGCAAGAGGTACACACAGATGCACTAGATATTCAGGACACCCTAGAGTACAAAGAACACCCGATCTGGATACTAGACAGAGCTGAGAAGGAGACTAGAAGCACC